CATGGTGCACTGTATAGTAATGGAATGCAAATTTTAAAACTATAATAAATAAAATATTTGCTTAAGTTATATTATTCATTCATAATACAAATCATAACAAATTATAAGTACAGATAGAAAATGAAATTTTATATTTTACAAGAATTTTAGCATATTTGTTTTTTAAACGTTTCTATATTCTTAAATCATACATTTCCTAAATTTTGATTGCATTTAAATGCATGCTGTGTATTACTCTGTTTTCAAATAATATGAAAGAAAAAAGCCTTAATAATTAGAAAATTAATATTGCTGAAGGAACTGCTTTACTATCTTTGCAAAATTACTGTAACTAAATTATCCAGAACTGATAGCCTTAAGTATAATAATACAACTTAATTTGCTCGCCAAATGAATTGTGGACTTCTAATATGTTGCTTTCTGTACTCTGCGGTGTTGTTAGTCCTTCTTATTGCTTACATGTACCCCGTGTATTAATGATATTGTATTTCTGGCATGTACCATATTAACAGTACAATAGGCTCAAATGCTAAGTAATTGGCAAGGCCCATCAGCTGAACACTGGTGGTTTGACTTCAATTCCTGGAGAAAAGGCTGGTTGCATGGCCATTTTTCCATGTGTAAAACGAGTTAGTTAATGCAGTGATCTACATACACATAATTTAAAACTATTTAAGCATATTTATATGCATCTGTCACAATTCACAACAATATTCAAAACCGTTGGCATTTAAATACACCTAATAAAATGCATAGAAGTTTCTATATATATTAATGAATAAATTAATTTAAGTAACCCGAAAATTCAAAATAACTTGCATCAAATCAAAAAACACTATAAGTTTCTATACCTATGAAATAATACATTTTGCTGATTATTTTTTATTTTGCCTGCATTATTGGTGCATAACGCAATCGCGCAGTGCGTACCAACCATTATACTACATAAATTTAATTATATTTGAGAGGAAAAAAAAAAAAAAAAAAAAAAAAGAAAAAAACCGAATGAGTTTCCACAGTCGCGCACAAGCTTACATTCAGCTTAAATCAATGCAAAAATCTATGTTGATCTGAGGAGAGAAAACTTCAGTGACGTCACAGCCAATAGACAGCGAGAACGCATTTTCGTTTGTTTACCCCAAGTGAACTAACCTGTTCTCTACGGACCTTGCATCTGCATAATGTTTTAGGACTAATTAATGAAATGTGGCACATGAAAGTGATTTTAGGAAATCTTATCTTATAGTTTAAGTTTCTTTCTTTTTTACTAAAGTGTGTTATTGCTTTTTGGCTGCAAATATATTAGCAGGGAATCAAAGCTGTCAGTGTTCAGGGAAAGGAGGGGACCTTTATTGATCTTTCATTGCTTCCATCCCAAATTTTTTGCATTAAAATTTTCTCCATTAGTGTCATGCTAGCTGTATTATTTTTTCATTGGTTTGTTACGTAAAGAATTATTATTTTTTTAATATTATGTCTTAATGCAGAACATTGTTATATTACAGAAATAGCATATCTTCTTTTTTCTACTTGGCTTTGGCAGTGAAGCAGCTGCAAAATGTTCGAATCGCTACTTACATATATATAACAGAGGAACAGAGTATATTGTAGTGTACAATATATTTTATATTGATTTATTTAATAACACGTTATGCATTGCAGTGTGATATACATTACTCAATGATGATAATGTCTAATTTATCAATTTAACTTAATCATGTTTATGTATTTGATATGAATATCCTGTTTCATGCAGGTTATTTGTATCAAATTATCTGTTATTATTGTACTAGAAAGCCCGGCGGTCATACGAAATGACCACTGTTCTAGATATTATAAATTGTAATTAAAATGATTTGTACAAACTGCTAATTCAAATTGAATTGCCAAAGGCAGGCGGCGAGGACGCCCCTTTGCTTACTGCCCCACGGGGTTTCCCCGTTCTACTGCTTAATTGCTTAAAGTAGAGTGCAATGATGGAAACCACTGGCGGTACATTTCTCAAAAGCCACTGCTAGCTCAATAAATAAAGGTGGTTTAAATAATAAAATGTTAATTCATATGTCAAAGATCACTTTGTGCACAAAATTTCTTGTGTAGATCTTTCGATCATTTTTAAGCTCACCTTGCAGAGGACCATCCATTATTTTTAATTTTACGTCCGTTCTCTCACGAACTCTTGAACAGGCAACATAAAAATGACCGTGTCCAAATGCAGGCTCAGGTTAAAAAATTGCCAACACGCTGAAGCGTTTGGCCCTGAGACTTGCTGATGGTCACAGCAACAGTTTTACAGGAAATTGTCTACGTTCCAATTGAAACGGCAACCCTGTGCCGTGGCAACTTCACCCCATTGGCTAGTACAGTTACGCAACCCATAAACTATCGGCGACAAACAGACACTTAAGCCGCATATAATAAAAATATTTATTTATTTCATTTTATTTGTTTTTTCATCGTTGCCGGTTGCATATTTCCGAATTCTATTATATATAGATGTTAAATTTATTTATTAAATGTTAAATGCACGTGCTCTTTTATTTTCAATTTTTCCGTCTTAGCTTTTTCATAGTATTCGTCACGCGCTGCACTGCATGGGGAATAAAACAATTTACAGCTACGCAAGCAACCAATAAACTATCGGCGACAAACACTTAAGCCGCATATATATATGTTCTTAAAATTATCCCTATTTTATTATTCCTATTCTTTTTTAATTGTTACATTCGATTATAAAGTAATTTATAATTCTGTTCACTGTCCTTTTTTATTAGACATTTGGTACAGACGTATTATCCCGCCGACCGTGATACTGTCGCCAGACACCCCGATCTAGCCTCTGCATGACGCCATATCTTCTTTCGTTTGATATAACCTGATTGATTCCCGATAAGCCGCCTTTCTTTGCATGAACAGCGACAGAAATGAGCTGTTATTGCTGTATTTTTTCTTGTTTTTTTTTTTTTTTTGGGGGGGGGGTGGAAAAATAAAGGAGTTTGATGACTATAGAATCGCATTTGTGACTACATTCCGGTTCATCTAGAGTAACATACAAGGTATGACACACATACACACGCACCAAAAAAACAAAAAAAAAAAAAAAAAAAAAAAAAAAAAAAAAAAAAAAAAACACTTGTCCAATAAAATCATTGTACTTACAGAATCAGTTCTCCGCGACATTATCACCTTCAAAGTGGTTCAACATTCACACTCTTCTGCATTCGGTGCTGCCATTGCTGGTAACAGTTCTGAAACGAGGTTTTTGGAATAGAAGATTCTCCGTTTTTGCCTGAACCTCTTCAGCTGAGATAAAATGGGTTCCCTTTAAGTAAGATTTAACATTAGGAAATAAAAAAAGTCACATGGAGCCAATCAGGTGAATAAGGGGGATGCTCCATCACAGTATGTTTTTGCTGGTCAAAAAGTGCTTGACAGATACGTGTAAGCGAGTGCATTGTCCTAGTGCAACAACCATCCATCACTCCACAACTGTGGTCCTTTTTTTCCTAATTTTTTTCACAAAGTCATTTTAGTACTTTAATGTAGTAGTATTGATTAACAGTGGGACCACTGGGAACCCATTCAATCATGATGAACGCGCTGGGCGTTCATCATCTTCCACACTGTCCTTTCCCCCTGAAAACCGCTTATACTATTCAAACACACGTGCATGAGACAAAGTTTCATCTCGAAAAGCCTCGGTTAACATTTGAAATGTTTCCTCCGTGGCTGATTTCATTCTTAAGTTTCACAAGAAACTGAATGTTGATTCGCTGTTCGGTTTTTACATTTTTTCCGGCAGAACGCATTTGCACGTGTTCACTCAAAGGCGTAATACTTTCCACTGGCGTGGTCGGTTAAGTCGAAACTGGCGGCATGGATAGGGGAGGTGTGTTGGCACGACGTCACCAAAATAGTTATAGCCAACTCCACTGTGCTTTTAAACTACACATTTAGTTTTTTTTTTTTTTTTTTTTAGTCCAAAGGGATTTGAATCCCGAAGGACTATTAGTTTCGTTTTGGCATTTTGCGTCGGACTCATAAATGTCGGTTCACTTTTCAAACTGTTGACACAAAATGTTAGAGTCCTGCATTATATTTGAAGAAATTAAATAATGAAAAATCTGCATAAATGTATGTATATTTCTCGTATTGTGATAAAACAACGGTACATAGAGTCATCGAATTTTGAATAACGTAATCCTCCAACGAATATGAGCATGTGGAAGACCAAATTTGAAATTTGAAATTTTTTTATGATCGATTTCCTATTTTTTAAAACTTTGACGAATTTTTGATTAACAAACTCAAGGATTTCAAAGCGAGCAATGGCAACGTTGTGCAGAAAAAACATTTTTATCTCCAGCGCGTGAGTCTCTGTATCGGAAATTCTAAAGATATGCTCGTTTAAAACTATTTTGCGATATTGCTGTTGCACTGGATCTTATGGTTTAAGTGCGAGGAACATGATATTTAATAAAGAAAGGTAACACACAAAATGTTAAAAAAACGCCCCTTTGGACGTAATTTAAAATCTGAAACATTTCAGATTTTCTTTTTTTTTTTCTTTTCTTTTTGTGTGTGTGTGTGTGTGTGTGTCACACCTTGTATGTTAAATTGGGACAAAACAGCTGGATATAGCCAACAAATAGATTGTAAAATTTACTTGCGAGAAGTTTGTGCTCATAGCATTGTAAACAAAGCTTCCGGTAAAATCGGAGGGCCTACAAAATAATAGAAACTGACGAAAGCTTTTTTATGAAGCGGGCTGAATACTTCAACAGTGGGTATTTGGTGGACTGTGCAGAGAGACTGATGAATATTTTTATTGTAAGGGCTGCAGATAAAAGTGCGGTTCAGAATTCCTAAGGAACGGTTGGCACGGGGATGGAATGGTTAGGATCTTCGCCAACTTTTATGATCAACGGGATAATACGTATGTATCGAAATTTGTTTTAGTGAATTATGCTTGCAGGTAAATATATGTACTTTATTTTCAGGTCAATTTGATACCATATATTGATATGATGAGCTCGAGTAAAGTGTTTTCTCGAATAAAGCGCATGTGTAAAAACATTTTGATCAGTGTGCCGGTTACTGTGGCTTTCCTTGATAGTATTGGTTATGTTGCTAAAGTGGAAGGTGTATCAATGCAGGTAATATCTCTTAATTTAAAACTAACATGTTGTAGAAGTAAATATATTCTGCGAATCAGTCTGTAAGTAATGTTTACAACACGCATTACCTGAGAGATAAATTTATTGTAATGAAAATAGAAGATATCAGTCTATATATCAGATAACTACAATAAAAGAGCGTATAAAATTTAATAATTTTGATTGTTTATATAATATGCATGTAATATTACTAAATTATTAATGAATGGATTAATATTTATTTGAATGTTAAATGTAGTTAAATGTATTTTTTTTTTTAGATTCAGCATGCATAACTAATTTTTTTAAATAAGAATTTCTGCTTAAAATTGGACAAAATTTTTCTTTGAATCGATATTTGTGAGGAGTCCTTCAAAATACAAAGAATTTTTCTGTAAGCTAGCTCCTTTTTAAGGTTGAATTCTGTTTAAGTTGGTATGTTTCTCTTATATCTATTAAATAGCTTGATATTTAAGCCTGGAAAAATTTTAAAGCTCTTTTTTGCTCAAGGTCTATAATTTAATTTTTTTTTTCACTATGAACTAGTTTCCGTGGACTAAAGAATGAGCTTTGTAGACACATAAACTTTATTCTTCTTTTTATTTTCATACAAAAAATATAAATATTGTTGCCAATAACAAGATTATCTCATATTAATGATAACATAGAATTAAATCCTGAGGGAAAAATACAAATATTAAATAAATCTAAACATACTTCCAACCTTGCCTTTACATTAAGAATAGATCATCTGCTATACAATGGTAAAAGTTTTACTGTAGGTCTTTTAAAATGGCCATGGACAGTTCTTACTGTACCAACTGTAACATTTCTATCTTTTCCAGGACGGAAACAATGCGACCTAATGACCAAACCCCAGGACGCGTGTTATCTTCCTTAATTAATACATTACGTACAGACAAATTTGGAAGTTGTTTCTTCCATTTATTGGTTTGAAGCATAAGGAATAGCCTTTTTTTACTTTAAAAGAATTTATTTTAACAAAACAAAAAGCAATAAATTAGTCAATTTGGACTTTCCCCATAGACCCAAGATGTCAAAATACAGTCTGGCTACAACCCATTCGTTTGGCTAAAATTCTCTAGTGGTTTGACGCGCGTCTTCGTGCAGAAGTTCATTCAAACGCTCTTCATCAAACTCATTGGGTCGTCCGTAACGAGCAGCGTCTTCGATGTCGAAATTTCCATTTCTGAATTTGGCAAACCAATTTCTTGCAGTTCGAGTTCGTTTAAGCATTGCACCTTCTCCATACACTTCACAAATCTCTCGACCAGCTTTTGCAGCATTGGCGCTTCGATTAAACGCAAAAAGAAGAAAGTGTCGAAAATTCTTATTTTTGTTGACTCGACCCTCCATTTTAATGATCTGAAAAATAACAAAAATTGTCTCAGACAAAAAAATCAAATACGCCATCTTGTAGAGGGAAAGATTCGCTTTCGAATAACACAAAACATTATGCCAATACCTTTTATTCTTACCGCGTAATTTTAAATACAACATAAACGGCCATTACTTATGTTTCAACTCAATATATCTTTGTCGTAAAGAATTTAAATACTTCTTCTAATATCTCTTCCAAAAGTTTTACTTAATTTGCTGTAATGATTTCCATCGTTTTAATAGAGTAAGAGAAATCCTCTTCTGGGAGACTAGTAATGACATCTCCAGTTAAAAAATGAGAAACAGTCAAGGCATCTAAATTAGATACATGAGAATGATTGGTTTTATACAAGGGCCGTTAATTTAACACGGCTTCAGTTTGAATCAGTAGAGTAGTTAATTCCTCAATTGTTAATTGTTTCTCCTATCATTCTTCTCAAATGAAATTTTATGGACTTTATTCCCCACTCCCACAAACTACCAAAGTGGGGAGAATCAGAGGGAGTCATTTTGCATGCCATTGTATTTTGAGCCAAGTAGTTTAAAATCAATTCATTGCTGTTAAGTGAAAGTAGTTAGAGTGTTCAATTCAGACAATTTTCATTTCGCCCCAACAAAGTTCGTATTATTATCCGAAAATAAATATCGAGGTGTACGACGCCTTGATGCAAATTGCCCAAGAGCAGCAATGAAAGAAGTTAAGTCGCTAAATGCCTGAATATGGTAAGCTTTGGTAGCTTAACATATGAAAAAAAACTATATAACCTTTTGCGGTCTTAAGAGGACGGTGGAGTTTAAAAATTAGTTTTTTAAGTTTTTGTGTTTTCAACGAGAAATTTTATAGATATACGTATTAGAGCATCAGTTCATAAAATATATGATCAAAATTTCAATTTATTTTAAATTAAAAAATTTTAAAACAAAAAATTAATTATTTTAATTAAAGATTTAAAATGCTCCTTGCGCGCTAATTTTCAATATTTTTTCCTAATGTTTCCTTTAAGTTAGTTATAAAGACTTGACAAAACATTTTGTGTATCCGTTATTGAATATGATGGATCAGAAATTTTTAAAAAGGATTTTTTGTGAACTTAAACCCAGTTTTCGGGAAAATGTCACCTTTTGTTAAACATTATCACTAGTTTAAACTTCTTAATAACCTCATATCCAAAATTGCATACTTAGATCTACTGTATCATATAACAAGATAGTTTCTTCCAAATATCATTCATTTTTAATTAAAAATGAGATTCATGGAGCATTTTCAAGAGATACGAACTGCGAAAAATTTTGTTTTGAGAAAACCGAATTTAACGATTTTCTTCAAACTTACCTTTAATACATGGTCATAAGAAACAGAAAATTAACTTTAAATATGAATATGTAGACACTAGATAACATTTTCGTATCATTTAATTATTTTCAATCTCATAATATTAAATAGGAGAAAAATAAACATATCGCAAATTGGTATGTGATTCGAAAGTTGGAGGTAGAAACAATTTATGCATAATATAAAATAAAACTTTTAAAATTCATTCGCATCATATGAACATTTTTTACTATTTCGTTTTTTTTTTTTTTGTTTTTTTTTTTTTTTTTTTTTTTTTTCAAACAGGTAAACTCCTCCTTTTGCTTTGGTTCAAGCGACGTTGATCACCTTTTGCAACGAGTAGAGAAAACGAGTTTGTTTCATTCTCTTCTACGCGTATAGCATTCACACAACCAATGTTAAATTCATTAATAGTTGACGATACTGACTTTTCTAGCCCTTTTTCTTAGAAATAAACACTTCTTTTGAGCAAATATATAAATTATTACATCAATAAATATCTGTTGAAATACATTTTTTTTTTTTACATTTTCTTCAAAATTTAAAGGGCAAAGTTTACATTGTTTATACATTTGAAATGCTTGTAACTTCTTTAAAATTAAAAATATTTGAACTCGGTTTTTTTTTTTTTTTTTTTTGCATACGATGTAGTTTTGTATATTTAATATTATGAGAGTAAAAAAACAAATTCAATATTTTGCTTGATTTTTTAGCTATTTTAAAGTCTACCGTCCCCTTAAAGCTGCGACCTTTGTAACATTTCAAAATTACAGGACCGGCATAGTCAGTAAATGTGTTAAAAATGCTCTGTCAAGTGTGATTCTTTGTTTCGGCAAGTCTCCCATTGGTTATTTGGACAGTTTATATCTGTGACGAAAATACATTTATGGATAAAAGACTGAATAAGTTCCTTACTACTAACAATCTAATAGTTTTGCTTTAAAATATTAGCTAATAAACTGGGTCGTGCATGCATTTATGTTGCATGATATTGTTTTAAACGTGTAACAAGGCAATCCTCTATTAACCAGGGATGATTATAGGGTGTTTAATATTGAACGCCAAGTCAGAATTTTGCACACGACTTTCCACTCTTAAAACACCACCATCAGCATCGAAAAAAGGACAAAGTGAGCTTAAAACACCTTTAGGACTTAAAGGTGAATTACACTCTTTTGCAAAGAAATCGAAGCACCATGAAGGAAGTGGTTGTTTTTGATTAAATTGAATATGTATATAGCTCAAAAACAGATAATAAAATCATTAAAAAATCAAGGTGATAGTATCTGTTCACGGCTCACAATCGCCCATTGAGTGTTCAAATTAGTAGTTGGTGAAACTGCCCCTGCGGAAATGCATGCTTGAATTCATCAAGGCAAGGTGTGGTAAGGATTCCTAATGTCATCCTGCGACACATTCTGTCAGGCATTCATCAGTTGTCGCTCCAGATCTGCGATATTTTGCGGTGCCCGAATCTGGAAGCCTACTATGTCGCAGACATGCTCGATTGGTGAAAGGTCTGGTCACCTTGCTGGCCAAGGAAGAATATCAACCGCACGGAGACAGTCCAGAGATATGCGAGCGGTATGTGGCCTGGCATTATCTTGTTGGAAAATGGCTCCAGGATGACGTGCCATGAAGGGTAATGCAAGCGGTCGCAGTATGGTATCAACATATCGTTGAGCTTTTAAAGATGTACGGAGGATGACTAAAGATGGCCTGCTGTCATAAGAAATAGCGCCCCACACCATCACACCAGGGGTTATGGCTGTATGTCTTTCTAAAACAAAGGCTGATTGGGACCGCTGGCCCTGTTCTCTCCAGACACGAACACGGTCGTCATCTTCTTCAAGACTGAAGCGACATTCATCGCTGAACACTATACGATGCCAGTCTGTTGGCAGCCATGATGATCGGCTACGACACCACTCCAGACGGCCCCGCGATTGTTGTGGGGTCAAAGGCAAACATCTTAAAGGCTTCTGTGAGTTTAACCCCCCTCAGACAAACGCCGTGAGATGGTGGATGGAACCACGGGAGGTATAACCGTGACTGTAGTGCGTTGAATAGTCGACAATGATACCGTTGGGGCGGTTTGGGCCTGGCGAACAATCATCCTACCTTGCTTCGCATTCGTGCTTTTTGTTCTTCCAGAGCCTTCATTTCCTCGGCAATTTCCTTGTAGCAACCATTGCTGCCAACATATTTGCATAGCAGTGTCTGTACGCTCCAGGTGGCGGCCTATTGCTGGTATGACCACCTAGCT